ACTAAATTAAGCCTCCGTGACGCAATGTTTGATTATAATTTGTTTTTCACAGTATAGCGAATCCAGCTTAGTGTTCCCGTAACCAGAAAAACGTCGAGGAAAGTGTCTTTTAAGGGAAAAACTCTATTCCAAAATGGAATCACATGAAAAGGAGAATAAATTCAGGTCCGCTATCGACAACGCGGCCTTTGAAATGAGCGATGGTAAGTCTATACAAATATATTTTAACTTTTCTTTTTTTTAATATATAATTTATGAATGCTAACGATGGAGATCACTTTCATGGAATTCAGTTTAATATAATTAAAAAAGATTATCTTTATAACAAATCCGTTTTAGAGTAAAGCCTCTTAGCAACAACTAAATGTTCGAATTTTATTTTTAAATGTAAACCTTAATTACAGTATCCTCAGCTAAAGTGACCAGTCCCAGAAGACTGAAGGATCTGGACGATCTGTTCCCGTACATCGGCGACTTCGGCTGGTACCAGAGGATCCTCTTCATCCTCATGATACCATTCAGCTTCTTCTTCGCCTTTGTCTACTTCGCGCAGATATTCATGACGATAGTACCCGAGCAGCACTGGTGTCGAGTGCCAGCGCTCAGTAATCTGACTGTAGAAGAACGGTAAGGAATTTGAAACTTGGATCTTGATTACAATGACTTGATAATCTCTAGTTATTTGCCATCTAAAGGTATTACTTGAAACCAATGCAATAGACAAAATCAAGCAAGCGAATTTCGAAAGAGAGAAAGCGAAATTCGAAAGAGTATTGCTTGATAAGCGATATAAGTAGATTTTTTTTTCTTTTCAGGAAACATTTATCAATCCCTCTTCTAGAAGACAACAAATATGACAGATGTCATGTGTACGATGTAGACTGGCAGAAGATATTGGAGACCGGAGTAACAGAACCGGATAGGAGCTGGCCGATAAAGAAGTGTGAAGAACAATGGGAATTTAACTTCACCGATGTCCCGTATGAAACAATTGCTACACAGGTAAACAGAAGCACCTAAATTTATATGACAGCATCCTTTTAGCATCACACACCACTGTGAAATCTAGTGCCAACCTGGGCAAATCTGAATACCTTACAAAATGACCTTTATTGAAAATAAGTGGCTACTAGACCACTATTTCTCAATGTGAAAACCTATCTCTTGAATAAACCAAGAAAGACGAGCGTGTAATCACTTTTCTTATCCAAAATCAACAGCTGGGCTGGGTATGCGACAAAGACAACTATCCGGCGACTGCGCAATCGGTCTTCTTCTGTGGCGCTATTATCGGAGGCTTGCTGTTCGGATGGATTGCAGATAAGTACGGGAGAATACCAGCTTTAGTTGGTAAGTTTCATTGTTTTATACCTAAGAATAATCATTTCTTACCATGGAAAGAGAAGAGGAAAATACAATTGAAGGATCCAATTTGCATTTAAATCACGTTAAGCGATTCAAACCACATTTGTTGGATTCAGATTCTAGACTACTCAGAGGTTTATTATTATAACCTATGTTCCAGGTACAAATATGACGGGTTTTTTCGCGGGCGTTGGCACTGCGTTCTCCAACAGCTTCTGGTCGTTCTGCCTGTGCCGGTTCCTGGTAGGCCTTGCCTATGACAACTGCTTTGTTATCATGTATATCGTTGGTAAGGGACATTTTGTAGTTATTTAGATTTTAAAATCATCACGAAACAAACAAATCTTAAAATACTTTAATTAACAATGTCCCTATGTATTTGTCCACAGTGGTAGAGTACGTGGGTCCAAAATGGCGTACGTTTGTGGCGAACATGTCGATCGCAGTGTACTTCACATTCGCGGCATGCCTGCTGCCATGGATCGCGCTCGCCGTCGCCGACTGGAAGATCTACACGCTCATCACCAGTGTACCACTGGTGCTTTCCATCTTCACACCCTGCGTGGTACCAGAAAGTGCAAGGTTAATAAAAATTTATCAAACACGATGGGGTCTTGGAAAACTATCTAACAATATACTAATGATGATTACGTCGTCATCCTATCTTGTATTTCAGATGGCTGATATCACAGGGACGTTTCGACGAAGCGATCAAGATTTTAAAGAAATGCGAGAGGGTCAATGGAAAAAAAATACCGGAAGGAGTCTTAAAGGAATTTAAGGTATACAGATTAAAGGTTACATTTTACAATCGTGGCCATGTTTCTCATTTCGTTTTTTGAAATATCGAAACTTGTGGCCACAGAACGACACTGAGCATCAGCTTACTGGTATTACGTCCAAGGAAGTTGATTATATAAAGATGAAATAAATATTTACATAATATGCTTCATTTCCAGGAAACAGCATCAGAAATAGCTAGATCCGAGCAAGAGGTGAAGAACTACTCAGTATTGGATCTATTTCGTACACCGCGGCTGCGACGGCACAGTATACTGTTGCTGTTCATCTGGATGTCGATCGCGATGGCGTTCGATGGTCACGTGAGGAACGTCGGCTCTCTCGGTCTCGACATCTTCCTTACCTTCACCGTCGCAACCGCGACAGAGTTCCCCGCTGATGTACTTCTTATACTCACGCTGGATATGTTAGTAAAAATTACAGATTATTGTAAGATGTAGAGGGTTCACGATTTTTTTTCGGGGCAGTAGTTTTAGTTTTTTTTATCGAAAATGTTAGTATTGTTCCACATTTAAATTTCAGTGCCATATAAATGCAAGTATGTTTTCAGAGTGGGACGTCGCTGGCTGGCGTTTGGATCCATGGTAATAAGTGGAATATTCAGTTTATTAGCTACCACTGTACCATTAGGTAAGTTGCGACTACATTCTGTACTGACATAATCAAATAATATCTTAATTCCTTAATGATATTTGTTTTAACCCTTGTGCTTTTGTTAGGTATCCCCTCAGCATCGCTGGCGATTGTGGGCCGGTTCTCAGTAAACATATCGTACAACATTGGCATGCAATACGCGGCTGAGCTGCTGCCGACGGTGGTGCGAGCACAGGGCCTCGCCCTCATACACATGACAGGCTACATCGCTACCATACTCGTGCCCTATATTGTTTATATGGTAAGGGTAACATATAAATGGAAACACCCCTCCATTTAGAGAGTAGTCCTTCACTGCACGACGATGGCCATTGATTACCACAATTCCCGGTTCTATACCGGCCGCATTCAGCGCACTCCAGCAACTTATATTTGCACATTAGCAATGAAAACTGACATTGCCGACTAGTCCTTTATTTAGAATAGATTTGACATAGATGTAGAACATAGTCTGAAAGAAAACATAGTCTACTAATGAAGTTTTTTTAATTCCGCAAGAACGGAGTTGCTCGCGACAGTTAGAATTTAAATAAATCTATCACATCCAGACTAATGTAACTTTTTTTGCTTCAATCTAGGCGACTATAGCGACTGAAATTCCACTGCTGATCTTAGGCACGATAGCAATAGCTGGAGGTTGCTTGTGCATGTGTCTGCCTGAGTCTACAGGTAGGGACATGCCGCAAACCCTGCAAGATGGAGAAGACTACGGCCGGGGACAGAAGTTCTGGGACATGCCCTGCTTCAATAGGTAACGGATTCAAACTTAATAGAAAATTAATTAAAAGCTTTTCTTATAAACCTTAATTATAGACGCAGAAATAATGAAAAATATCGCTCTATCTTCAGATAGAAATCTACAACAATTTCGTATGTGGAACGTAAAAAAAACTAATTTATAATATGGTTGCTATTTGCAGAAAGGCCAAGCGCGGGAGTGCTGACCCAAGTTGAAATGCTGAAAATAACTGCGGCTTGAAGTGTTCATAGTTTTTTTTTTCAAATGTTATATGTTAAATAATGTAGTAGAATGACAATATTAAAATATATAATTTTACTATGTACTTGTAGCTTTTTTTGTTGAACCTCCTAAAAAGAAGTAATAAACTAACCTAGAATTTACAGCTCTTTATGGCATAAATAACTCTATATCTTACATAAATGTGTCTACCACCCCAAAAGATTTACAATCTAATAACTACAAGATAAAAGCTAACAGATCAATCAGCTTCATCATCATCAGCTCACTACGTCCTCACTGGGGCCTCGGAGCCTACACTAGGGGTGAATAGGCCATGGCCAACGAAGCTGGGGGTTGGTTGACTTCCCACATATCATTGAATTTCTTCTCAGATATGTGCTGGTTGCATCACGATGTTTTCATTCACCGTAAGAAGTCGGATAAATGTACATATGTAAATCGAAAATCGAAAAACATATTGGTACATGGCGGAATTCGAACCCAGGACTGAAACCCCTGAGCCACTGACACACTATATTCAATATAAGCAAGTTAAAAAAAAGTATACGTATGTGGAAACTGAGGTACCGTTTGTTTATAAACACGCGTATCGCAGCAAAAGGACGCCGAAATATTCACGAGCCGAGGAAAAAATAAAATTCATCCCAAAACAAACAAAAACAAATAAAGAGTACGACAGCGTACGACGTAAACACAACTAGTGATGTGCTATATCGATAATCTTTCTTAATTAATCGGCAGATTATAAAAATATTTTTGGATATGATTGAATAAAAATATGTTTTGCTATGGGAAGTCTCGTCTTCATGAGTTTTCTCACTGCTAAAACACAAACAGCCGAAATATTTTTTTACTCCTATTTTGGAAGAGGATAGTAGATTGTAAAAGTAATTAGTTGAATGACAAAATCTTTACTCCTAATAACGCCGAAAATGATATTTCAGACATTGGAAAGAATAAAATTTATAACCGGAGTCATTAGAATATTACATTAGAACGTCAAGAGGTCTCGAATTAAAAAAAATACAGTTGAAGGTAAAACTAATTAGTTAATAATTAACACAGCTTCAAAAACTTCAAAGTGTAAAAATTAAAAATATCGATAACATATCGAAGTTGAGGTACAACACACAACGATTATTTACAAACAGACAAAAAACGGTGTTTCGTTTCGGATATCACTTGACATACAGAGGGAATTCCTCACAAGACGGCGAACAGTCATTCAGTACGGTCCCCGCGCGATATGAACTGTAGTGATGTCAACAATCACATTGTTATCGATAATTTGTTCAATCGGCTTTATCGCTGCAGCGTATCTGGAAAATGAATCATTCATGAAGCCCAAACTGGAGAAGAACAAGATCGTAAACAAAGGTGTGTGGATACGAAAAGCAGGGGACGATCACCCATCAAAGGGAGGTTTAGGTGACTTTATATTCAGGGAAAGTTCCCTAGATGCAGATAGTTTGCTTCGTAACAACTTTGATCCGTTCGGAGAGAATTTTATGCCAGACTCTGTGATGGTCCCCAACTATATAGAAAGGACAAAAAGATCAGCAAAGGGTAAAACACTTGTTATATATAAACTTTTAACATACCCAATGTATCACACGACTTTCCTCAAAAGTATTTATTGTAAGTGTAGTACCTACATAACATTCTTATTAAACTCGTTAACTACTATTTACAATAAATTTTACAGTAAAATAATTTAAAATTAAAATGACCTAAAATATGTCTTACTGCCCTTTGTTTTTACTTTTGTCTTTAAAATTAATTAATTTCACATGTGCTTCATAACTTTATTTCGTTTAAATTTTTGTTGCAGACGGACATATTAGAAATAAGAATACAACCGATGAAAAGAATACAAAAAGTGACAAAGCAACATTTACAAAATCTAAAATAACATCAAAATTCAAACCAGGAAAAGTATTTAAAGATTTTCCGTACGACGTCGCGATAATGTTAACAAATAATAAAAGAGAGCTAATAAAATCTGAAGGATCATCTTCCAAAGATGTTTACGATACAAGAGAATATAACTTTTCAAAAATCATTCCGGATTTAGCTCTCAGTATAGACAATTTAGTCAAAAGTGAATCTCAAATCACAAAAAATCAAAACGATACAAGCACCTACCAAAATACAACAATTGTGATCCCAAAACGTAGCATGCAACGTGATTATGAATCAGAAATTATAAAGAAAATTGAATTCAGCGAGGAAATGAACAAAACAGAAGACAGTTTTGAATCTAATAAAATGGATCGAAACGTATTCGAAGGTGACGACAGAGCTTGGCATCAGACGGCACCATTACCCGACGTCAATGCTTACAAGATTTTACCAAAAACAGAGGAAACTAAGCCAATTAAGAATAAGCCAATGACTGAAAAAGGCTTAGTGAAAGTATTATCAATGTTAACAAAAACTTTCAAGAAAGTAATGAAACAACATAACGATATTAAAAGAATACATACAAAACTTACATCTATTAATGATGAATTTATGAAAAATGCTCAGCTTTTAATGACAAAGTTTCAAGATTTCGATGTAAAATACTTGTATTTGATGAAATTCAATGAAAACTTAAAGGATTTAGAAGCAAGATTACGTAGCAAAGAAGATTTTTACAACAATAAGGAAAGTGAATTGATGAAGAATTTAGCTGAATTCGAAAACCAACAGAAAAAGTTCTTGATCCAACAACAACAATTTTATAATATTCAAAAACTCATGTTGGCACAGAACGAAAAAATAAATTTAAAGCAAAACTTAATAGCGAAAACTCAAAACGAAATATCACTGAGGCAAAACAATTTCGCTCGAATCTTAAAGAAAGCAAAACAGATTTACATCGATACTAAAAATACGATACCACAAAAATTAAGTGCGATGTTAACGAAGCCTAAAGATAACAATGAAGTTAAAAATAATGACAATGATAAACCTATTGTAACCACAACTAGTACTCAAGCACCAAACACTGAATCAGTGAAGATCAATTTATTTTCAGTACCTTCAATCAGTCGCATTGTAAATTACGACAACCAACTATTGAAGGAAAAGGACGATCATCCTGTAGATGATTTAATCTACAAATATTATTTCAATAACACATACATTGATGTCTTAATGAAGAATAAAATCTTATCAAGTTTCGTACCAAGTCCAGGAAATTCGTTCACGCGTAATGCCAAGAATAAGAGAAACGAACGTCCCAGATTTGTACCGAAAAGCACTAATCTTATACCTGTAAACGAAATCAAACCTTATAATCAAGTCAGTAAGTCTCCTAATTTGAATCGTGGTAAACGTTGGATTAAATATTCTAAAAAAACTGGAAAAAGAAAACACATCGGTAATGATTTTAACGTTGTTTTGAAGAAAGAAGATATGAAACTAACAAATAAAACTAACATTAGTTACAAAGACAGGCCATTTCCAAAGAAGATTAAAAACGTACCTACGAAAGATCCTTTCATGACAATGGCGTCTAGTTTTTGTAATGAGATTGGTCAAAACGACAATGATCAAATGTTACATTGGTGTATAGAAAAAGCGTTGAGAAGACTTCGTGCAATTGGTAAGTTACAAGCTTTTTAATGTTATAATATTTGTCTTCTCTTTTTGAATTTGTCTTTGTTAGTACTTATTTAATTTATATAAATATTAATTTCTAGAAATGAAAGCAGCACGGCCAATAATCGTTGCAGAACATACGGATGTCACGAGTAAAGCTACGCCGACGCGAAATGTACCAAAGAATTCGGAGGGTGTCATTATGACTACGTTATTTGGAGGTTAAATATAATACTTTCTTACCAACTAATTACTGAGTTTAGAATTAGCTTACATACATCCAAACATTTGTATAATATAAGAAAAATTCATTGTTTTCTAGTGGTTTTCAATATTTATTTCTTCTTCAGCAGAAACAACGTTTACATCAACAACTTCGACCACTACAGAGGCACCTACGAGTGAGTCAAGTAGTACAGTTTCACAAGAACCCACAGACTCTGCATTATTCTTCCCAGGTATTTTATAATTTAAAACTAGTAATTTCTATTTCAAACTCCTCTTAGACCTCTTTACCACTAACCGAATAGCATCGCGCTAGTGCAAATGGGGTCTAACCTTAACATCAGTTCTCTCTCACCATAAATTGAATTCAATTATTTTATTTGTTAAATTGCGATGTCCTGTATTTTATCTTTCACCAAGTTTACAATAAAATAACCTATAAAGTACTAATAAGAGATATATATGCTACGTTCTTAACTAATACTAGACATTTAATAATTAAAATATAATCTTACTAAATAACTTTGTTAAATTAAAGTTTATATGTTCAAAATTTCTTGTTTCAGATAACGACCAACTGGAGACTAACCTAAAACAATTTGGTAATTACTTAACATTTTAAAAACTCAATTAAAGTTAAACTTAAACATAATTTTAATGTTTCATATATACATGCTTAAACTTTTAATTACCAGTATTGTAAAGTAATATATTTGTTTTAGAATTTAACCGAGACACAGAAGGTACTGTTTACTACGACGGCAGTGTACACGCTAGTCAATTTGGTGAGTACACACAAAGTAAACTTTGCTTTAATATTAACCAAAACACATTCAAATGATCATAACGATATGGTAATTGTACAACACTAAACTACTTTGCAACTGTACTTACAAACAGGATGGATAGATGTTTGTTTGAAGGTATCTCCAGAACGGCTGCATGGGCTACTAATTAAGTTTTTTTTTAATTCCGCGCGGACGGAGTGACGAGCGATAGCTAGTTACGCATAAATTTAATAATGTCTAACAACCAAAATATTACGTGGGTTTTGTATTGTTATTTTTGATTACTGTATTTTGTTTCTTTTTAAAGAAGGTCCGGATAGCGAGGGCGTATCGGACCTGCTGCCGGACATGGACAGCGACTCGCGAGTCGACATTGACCCTGTGGCCCTCGACCTGCAGCAGAAAAGACGAGCCTATGTTCGAAGGTATTATTGATGTCTGGTTTAATCTTTTAGACATTATTAGTTAGAATTCTTTGGCGCGAATGACGTGCTTTCGTTACAAAGTCCAATGTCAGAATGAATCTTGAGGGGACACAAAAGTCGACATTTTAGTAAAGCTAGTGTTGGGTCAATACACTGCCACATTTTCGGATTTTCTTTTTAAAAGTAAGGTCTGGTTTACTCTTTCGCTAACTATATTTTCACTAAGCGATTTATCACACGATTGTCGTTTCGAATTAGTCGCGCCAGTGGAAATCGTGCACTGCTGAATTACCAGTTGCAACCGGAAAGAGTAGCGTGGTTAGTCATGCTAGTAGAAAATAGATCTAAACACTAAGAGTAATTAAATGGTGTGATTTATCATACTATATCTGCACTCAGGGTCTTCCTTAGCGAACATTTAATAGATATGTTAAAACAGTCAACTTGTAATATCCTACTCTTGTAGGTAGTAAAGTGAAAATGTAAAATAATATTCAATTTTTCAGGATCAACGAAGACATAATGCGGAAAATGAAACAAGGGTAGAATAAGTTCTATAATGTTTAGTTATTGTGAACAATCTTTAAAATATGAAAATGTTATGTCTCTTTTATAATATATTAATAAACGTAATGTTGTTTAAAACCAGGTTGTTATTACATCCTTTTCCTTTCCTTTTTTTCTTTATACCATTTATTCCTAAAAAAAATTTCTAATGTCTTTTGATTATTTAAATAAATATCAACTATGAACAGAATTATTTTATTTGTTAAATCTTTTTCTTGTAACTTATCTTAATTTTAATAAAGAAAAAAAATATAAATAAATTTTCTCGACACAAAAAATCGGCAGGTTTAAAACCGTTCCCATCGCACTGAAGAGTCTACTATAAATGAATCCTTTCCTATATTAGTTAGACGAAATCTAGAATACTTTGAGCATACGGAAATCCAACTACCAAGGCACACAATGCCTTTATCTAGTTCTCAACACCGTCCCTGTATGGTGTCCATAATTGTAACGGGACAAATGTTCCGGCGTAGAAATTCCCCTCAATTAAGAAATCTATTGGCAACGCATCTGCAATTCCTTTGGTGTTGCAGATGTCCATGGGTGTCGCTGATCACCTCGCTGTTCTTTTGCGCCCCCTTCTCTTATAAAAAAAAATCATTGTCACCCAAACAAATCAATTCGTGGACGGCGAATCAAACAGAAACGAATATACTTTGTTAAATCCTGATCATATGTTTCTATAAAACAATTTTAAAGGGCTACTATTTATAAACCACTGACTTTCAAAGAAATATACATCGTTGTATACATTGACGTCCATGACTTCCATTTTAAACTATAACTAGCTGCCGATCGCGAATCAACCCGCGTTGAAAAAAAAACTTAGTAGCATATGAGTTCCAAGCTATGTTCTATTTACATCTATGCCAAATTTCAGAGAGATCCAACAATCCATCCATCTAAACTTTCGTATTTATAATATTAGGAAGGTTACATGTTATATGAACAATCGCACATTTATTATTTTTAATAATTTCTAATTGGAGCTTTAAAAATGATAGAAAACAAACATTCAAGAAATCTATTAAATTACCAAAGTGTACGATTTTATTCAGAGGATGTTTAACCACAACCCATTTATATATTAACCAGCTGTCGCCCGCGACTCCGTACGCGCGGGATTAAAAATAGATGTTGGCCGATTCTCAGACCTATTCAATATGCTCACAATATTTCATGAGAATCGGTCAAGCCGTTTCGGAGGAGTATGGGAACGAAAATTGTGACACGAGAATTTTATATAAAAGATTATATAACATGTAACGCAACTATAACTATAACTATTTAGCAATTGAAAAATATAATAACTTAAAAATATATACATAAACATACATAAAGATTTAATATTATCAATATCCGGATAGCGTTAAACCCATGGCTACCAAACTTCAAAAATCGTGACCTAACACCCATTCAAGTAAAATCCATTCAATGCATTGGAGAACTTTTTTTATATTTTTTAATCCGTGATAAAAGCAAAAGTATTGAACACTTAATGGGCTGTATGTTTACAAAACAATGGCACAGAATGCACCCAAAGTTGCTATTGGAGTTTAGTCAAACCAGAGTCTTACTCGAGTCGTTAAGTTTATCAGACATTGGTGTACAAAATATTTTTTTACATTCTTGTAAACGGTGAGTACTTCAGTTTTTACTAACTTTTTAATGTTGATAATTAATTATAAATAGTTATTATTTTATTAAATTTTAAAGAAGTTTCGTCCACGCATAATAAATAGCATTATCCTACGTATTAACGGATTTCCAACTGTCAATCGGCAATCATAACAAATATGTGATACTGTTGCATTTATTAATTAAATAAATACTTGAATTAAAAATTTGACAGGGTGAATGAACTGGTTTGTGGCCAGCAATTTATTGATTTGAAAAATAAATAATTTTTACCTTATACACAGACATAGTATAGAAAACGTGAAAAGGTTATATAGAACATCCTATATGTCACGATGCGACTACGACGGCGTGTTCTACAGGGTGTTCTGCGTGACGCTCCTCGCCACCGCCTTCACCTTCACAGTCATCCTCACTAATGTCTTTATTGACATCGATGGTCTGCTGGCCAAGAAAGGTAAGAACATACCGTACTACAATCACACTCGAGAAAGAAAACCGAAACAAACGTCATTAACTCTCTCTTTTAGAATTCAGGTGGATGTCTGAATCAATTTATTTGATCTAGAGTATGAGAGTAAATTATGTCATCCGGGGTATGTGTAGCTTCCCAACAGTGAAAGATTTTTTTTTAAATCTGTTCACTATTTTTCTATCCAGTGTATAGTAACAATCAAACCTTTCCTCTTTATCATATTAATAAAGATTAGTTTCCTACCAATTTCATACTTTTATAGGAAAACAAAATCACGAAACCACAGACAATGTTGAATATAAAGAAAACATCAAAAGTAGTGAAACAACCAACCCTCCTGACGATACAACCACAGACAATGTATTTGAAAAGAATTATATAGACGACCAGTCGGAAACATCATACAGAACAAAAAGATCAATAGGTAAGCTTCATTTTAAATTACTTCTTAGCAATAAGCAGATATTTATAATCAATAAAATCTTGGTTCTTGTTAGTACCTTAGTCTTAAAATGAAAATCTTACTAATATTATAAATGTCAATGTTTGGATGGATGGATGTTTATTTGAAGTTATCTCCAGAACCGCTAAATAGATCTCGCTTAAATTTGGCAAGGATGTAGAACATAATCTGGAAGAACACATAGGCTACTAGTTAGGTTTTTTTAATTCCGCGTACGGAGTCACGGGTGACAGCTAGTGTTTATTTAAATGCAAAGAGATTATAATTAAATGTAAGAAAGCAATACAAACGCCAAATATAACCACACAGAAGTTACAGTTTTTTGGTTAAAAAGGGCGATGAAAGATAAAGAAACAATGGTATAAAAAATGGGAATGTTCGATCCAATACTTTAAACATCGTTACATACTTGAATAAATCTCCAAAACATTTTATAGATAAATATTTCCACAGGTTCTAAAAATATAGTATCCAATTATCATAAAAATAAAATAAAAGTACTCGCAGCTCAATTAACGAAACTACTTGAAAATATCGATAACAAAGGAGAAATATATTCAGCAGAATTTAACAGGAAAGAAAATAACGACATTGATATTGCTAAAATACCTTTTGAAGATTATATCTCTAACTATAATGAGGTTAGAAGAAAAGAAATACCTGAAAAAGATTTACATTTTAAAATACATAGAGTTCCTCAAGAAAATGTTATAGAAAATGAGGATGTTGATGATATTTCGAAAACTATTAGTAAAGTTCTGAAGAATTATAATAGTAGAGGACACAGAAACATACAAGAGAAAGGTAGGACTTATCTTTTTATAGTTTCATTTCTTTTATTTAAAGAGATTTAAAAATATATTTAAAAATAACATTAAACTACGCTAATATATAGATCCCGAAGTCATGGTGAAGACAATATTAGAAATAAAACCTTTGGATATTATTGAAGTGAAGAACAAAATCAGGTATGTAAAAGAAAACTAAAATACAAAATTAATTTACTGAAAAACAAAACCTAACCACGATTATATTTCTTTCTAGTAATTCTCAAGAAAAAATCAAAAGTCCAAATAAAATCAAGTATAAACATTTACATAATCTTCAAAATATAGATAGAGAAAACTTAAGCATCGACGAACACAAAACTATATTGAAATTAAAAATTCTGGGACCAAACTCAAGGAACAAGAAAAATTACGAAAAACATAGAGTTTTCGAAATTATTCCTAAACATAATCAATATTACTATTTAAATAAAGCTTTGGAATATCTGAGAAAATATTCACAATATAATAAGGAAGAATTTGCATTTGTCAGACTGGGTAAGAGAAACAAAGATCGAATGAAAAGGCAAGTTAAAGTAAGATATGAAGATTACGACGCTACCACACCTAAAATAAAACCAGTTCGTAAAACTACGAAGAAAGCTGATGACGAACTGTACGTTGAAATCGAAACTCATTTCGATGGCTCCGGTGCTAAAGGAGAAAGAAAGAAAAAACTTGTAAAAAGTCTCATAGACAGAATCCAAAAAGCTATAAGATCCGATGAGTTAGCTAAAAGCGATAGAAAAAAAACACACGAGCACTTACAAATAAAGAAAAGAATCCAAAATCCTCTCAAACAAAAACCCAAGAATATAATGAAGATGAGTTCAGTGGAGCATAGACAACAGAATCCAATCAACAAAATAGAGGAAGTCAAAGATCTTCTACAAGACGGAGAGGTCAAATCTGTCGATGACTTGGACGAACCGTATCAAGGTCCAAATTCCTTTTCTTTACCAAATATGGAAAACTCGGCAGAAGCAGGAAATTCTGAATTCAATAATATTTTAAGCAGCGGCATACCGCAAAGAATACAAGTACCCTTAAACTTACAGCATCCAGACATGCCGGGAAAACTAAAAAACTCTTACGCAGATGCAGGTAATGTAACACTCTTCATAAAAGACATCGATGGAAGTGGATTTTCAGTAGGTTTCAATCAATACGTCGACGAACCTCCGGATGTAGACAGCATGAAACTATTTTCTGGATTAGAAAATTTAATAAAAACATACCACGAAGACTATGATCAAAATAATAATGAAAACAATAACGTTAACGAAATAGAGGATTCACCAGAAAAACAACACGAATTGATGAAGCGAGACGTTAACTCAGACAAAAGTCGACATATCTTGTTCCGTCGATCTATCGAAGAAGTGCAGAATGACTACCGATCAGACGCTTATAATATTATTTTCGATAAGAAAATGTTGCCCTACGCCAGATATGAAGATGTTTTAAATACACCGAGCCGTAAAACGATACCCTCGGATTATGAATACAAGATTAGAAACTACGACTACAATCCAAAGAATATTAAAATATTTACAAAGGACATCAAAATTAAAGCACTACCAATTGTATTAAACGACGAAATTTTTGACAAGAAAATGAGACCATCAGAAATTTTCAGTTTAGCAAACCTATTATTACAAGGCAGGAAAAATAGAGAAAAACGCTCACTGAACGTTCAAAAAATCACAAACTTGAAGTCCAGGATCAAACTCGCTAGATATATAAACACTAAAAAAATGGAATCCAAATCAGTATTTTTTAAAAATAAAAGAAATAAGCGTAACGTTGATAAGATAAGGATATTCGCTTCAGACCAATCGCAAGGCCCGTCTAGGCAGTCTGAAGAAAATGTCTATGTGCTTTCGGGGGAAAACTTTTTTACGAACAGAGCATCGTTAAGAGAGATAGAACTGCCAGAGAGTGACACAGGAGACGACGGGGGAGGGGAGCAACGCGGTGACGACACCGTGCCCTTTGTGTTCGACGAACCCTATCCTAACAGTCCCAACAAGGAACCTAACTACATTACAAACATATTCGACACTAAATACAGCCAAAATGGTTTAATGTCAAAGTATCCTCACATATTTCCGGGCACCGCGCGTGACTCTAAAGAAGTACAATTTACTAACGACAACGATTTTATGTTTAAGAGAGGCAATAAACAGCAACTAAAGCTAGAAAACTTACTAGGAATGCGCGAAGGAGACAACGACCCTCCAGAAAAGGACGGACGTATACCTGACATTGTTAACGCTATAATGCCTTCGAAAAATAACTACAAAGTCACTGTCAAAATTTTACCCAAAAATTTAACTAACGCACCTTCAGGCTTCAAAGAAATGCACACAGTTATAAATAAAACGTACAATAACAACGGTGTTCAATATTATTCTCTTGTTAATGTATCTGAAATATCTAAAATAGAGAAAATAAATAAAACAAAGGAATATGAACATATTGATGATAATACTAATAACAGTAAATCAACAGACGATACAAAAATGTTAGAACAAGAGAAAAATATGAAATTACTGCTGGCACTTCAGAAAGAAAAAATTGAAAAACAACTTTTACATTTAAATAAAGAAAAAGAAGGACTCGAAAGTATATTGCGAGAAAGAGACGGCATTAAAGAGAGAAATATACACGATTTGTTTAAAGATTTCATGCATTTAGAGCAAAACAAACCTAACGATGACATGGAATTCTTGCACGACATGAGTCATCTACATGTTCACGACACTCCAACCGTTGAACCGATAACAGAATCAAACATAATAATACCTATAACAAACCATGATATAAGAATAAAATTAGAAGCACCCAAAGAACCGGAAAATAATAAAATCGAGGCATTAAAAGAAAAAGACAATGAACATCTAACAAACGAAATATTATCACAGATAAATAAAAATACAGATATATTACAATGCTTTTTAAAGAAACTGTCAGATAAATTTGATCATTCGTCTTCACAGACAACGCGGAGTCCTTTCGAACGTGTTACAGAAGAAAATAATTTAAGGGCACATCCTGATTTAAAAGACTGGGGTCTACATCACTTGCACGATTCATTCTTCAATGACCACATCCATAAGAACGAGTCTCATTACGCTATACCCTTTGTCTATGCTTACCAACATCCATATTTACCACCAAACAAACCTCCATTGCCGATGGCTAAAATAGTGTACCACGGACACATTCATGCGAATAATCTACATAAATATGCAAATGATGCAAGGAAGTATAACACTAACACTAGTAATTCTAAACATAATCATCCCACTACTAATCCTAGTGGTAATCATGAGGGTAATAAATTCTTTATAGATAGTCTAGCTCGTGACGTCATCGTGACTCCATCGAAAATCGTACAGAAGACAGAGTTCCCAGCTTCTGTTGTGAATGTAACACAAATTAATTGATTTTTTTATTATTTTTATTTTTATATTAAATAATTATTACCATTTTAGTATTTAGTTTGAATTTAATATTATCTTACTAATATAAATGTATGTTTGGATGGATGGATAGATATTTATTTGAAGGTATATCCAGAACGACTGCATAGATCTCGCTGATATTAAGCACAGATGATATAGTCTGGAAGAACACATAGGCGTATTGTTATTTTTGTAATCCGCGCATACAGAGTCGCAGACGACAGCTAGTGTATATATGGCAACATTCTTGTAAAGTTAAACAAAATAGCAACAATTTCTGAGGTCGGTGAGGTGAACGACAAGATAAACTAAAAGTTTTGTAAATTAAATACGTTTATTAATAAAATATTAAATAACAATTCCAGTATGTATGGCACAAGGGAGCAGGAATATAATCGGTAAAATATAAAATTCAAGTTTAAAGACATGTATTTTTATAAAAATACAATATTACATACAAATAAGAATGCATCTTAAATAGAATCAATTTATATTCCATAATATATAAAAATATTCCCAAAATTTATAAGATGACAACACCGATACAAAAGTTTACAAACCATAGACACGAAATGTCAAAATGACATCTGACAGTGACGGATACAGAGGTAGTTAGTGACACACACGACTAATAAAGCTGCCTGGGAACTGGAAGATTAGAATTAAGTGTACTTATAACTATAATATACGACCAGCGCACATCTGGACGAACAAACAATTTCCGCTCTCACTACAATATTAATAAAATAGACAATTCACTGGCAACTTGTACCATTCCGTGCACTGGTCGAGTAGGAACGCTCTAGAAATAATCTTAATTATGGCAGTTGTTTTCATTTACTCCTAAATCTAAAAGAATATTTTTATAGTGCAACACTAAAATCCTATCTCTTTCGCACTAGTAAGCTGCAGCTAAGCGGAAACGAGACAACAAATCAAACTCTTAATATTAAATTCATAAAAATGTTACTCATTTAATTAAAAAAAAAACATGCGAAAACTTGATATACAAAATATTAAATAATTTGATTATCAACTAATTATTTTAAATAAAAATATAATTCTATATTATTTCGTTATTATTTTTGAATATATTAGCTTAATAAATCTCGCTAAAATATCGTAAAAAAATTTGTGCTTATGTAGTGCTATAACCATTATTTTATAAACTGACTTTAATGATAATATTCATTTAAAAAAATATAATGATTAGAATAAAAATATAATTTCAAAAATATAAAAATCCCTGTAGAAAAAATATAAATTGGCAAGTATTGTGTAAACACGAAATAGAGAGAAACAATTTTATAATATTTTTTTATATAAGTAACATCAAAAACAATCACTGGGCAAAAAATATGCTTATCAGGGGATTTAAAATCAAAATAAATTTTGTGCCGAATTTTTAAGCTGGATAAGCGAGAGTTCGAGAAATCGCGATATTTTCTCGCTTTAAGAGGTTTTCTCTTTAAAGTTTCTCGCTGATGGAGGTCGTCTATCAGACTAGATGACTCTTGCTTATCCAGGATAAGACTTAAGGATAAGAGTATATTATGATTTTTTAATATTCAAAATGAGCGAGAAGGGTTCAAGATATTCTCGCTAATAAAGGTTTTTCTGTAACCTTGGTTTCTCGTTTATGAAGGTCGTCCGTCGGAACTGGAAGACTCTCGCTTAGAGGTTTCTCGCTTGTCTAAGTACTGTAGTAGACTGTATTATAGAATTATTGCTTCATTTTTAATATTTAGAGCTATATTTTGTAATCCAATAAAATATTAGTTTTTTTTATTTAACCATTTTGATTTTAAACCCCTGCTGCATATTTAAGTTTTTAAATTTTTTCTGATGTGATTTCTTAAATAAATATTTATTTTTTTTATTTCATATAAAATTTAAGAAGTACATAAATAGTATAAATCTATTTATATATCATAAATATATTTTAAATTTTAAAATTTTAATAATGATATTTTTCTATAGTTAATATATTAAATTACAAGATTTTTAAATATTTATTGATTTCAGTTAAATAAATAAATAATAATAAAAATTACTTTCAAAAACTAATATTTGAATTAAAAATGTTATCATAATTTGTCTTTCCTTTTAAATTAATTTAAAACGTAAACAAATCGTACAATTATTTTATCGAATTGAACCCAAGTATATAATAAAAATTACATTATTACATAATGATTTATATGTAAGTATAAGAACGCAAATATATATATATGTATTTTAAAGATATATAAATATATATCTGTAATAACTCGTTCACACAAATAACGTCTTTATATGAAATTATCTTACAATAACTATTTATCGCTTATCCTTAACTCTGCCAGCTCCTTTTCCTCGTCCACTTCGTCTTCATCATCAGAACCATGAACAGAGGCAGCGGGAGTTGTAGCTCCTGCACAAAGAAATAAAAAAAAAATATATTTAATATGCATTTTTTTAAATTAACTCTTGTACTATAATGGACTCCTGTACTATTCTACAATTGTGACTATGTGCCACCACGAACCGTAAAACTGTGAAAAAAACAACTACGCTAGTTATTATGCGTAAAACCGAAAACACGGTGCTATCCAAACTTTACAACGGTTTAGAAGATTTTACTAGATTTTTCTTGAATTATAGACAGTAAGTGGGTAATTTCGCTAAAATAGCGAAGAAACCGCTAATTTTAATATCTACAGATGAGTTTCTTGTTTTAAACATTTGTACATACAAAGGAGAGGACGTATATCTCCCCTTCCTATAGGTCTCCTCCTCTGTCAATAATTATATCACAAATCGCCGTAAAGTTTGTATAATATAAAACAAATTTAGTGCCGATACAAAATAAGAAACCTAATCGTCTCTTCTCTCTTCAATACAATCGCTTAGTTTGGAAATAAGTTCATCGATTTGTTCAGTCACAGCTTTATTCAAAGGTTCTAGAAAGTTCTCGTTCGGTGTTCTATAGTTTTCATGTTCAGATTCTGTGAACGGTTTCTCAAAACTGACTTCAACATCGTCATGATCTTCATCAGTTATCTCCAATATTTCTAAAGATTTCTGAACTGTGAGAGGATTTCTTCTTACATCTTCGCGGCTTGTCTGAACTTCCTCGTCTTTTGTCTCCTTCTGTGTGTCCATGTTGTATGAGGCGGTGAGACGACTTGCTGTTAGACGCACTGTTTGTTATAATTTTTTTTGTTAATTTTATACAAGGAAAGGTAAATAGACGACTATTTTATAACATGACGAGAAATTTATAGAAAACACTGTCCTCTATAAATGGACTGGATGTCAAACGTTGTATTTTGTGCGTATTTGATTTTTTTGATAATTTATATAGAATTAAATGTGACGTAACATATGGGGTTCGACAAATTGTGTTCGTTTCAAAGCGATTCCATAAGGAACTTCAAAAATGTATCAAAGTAACGATAATATTCGATAAGTGAGGTGATTATCGCGCGTCAGTTTTATACATTATTGAAATTCGTTATGGAATCACTTCAAAGTAAATGCGATTTATCTAAATTAAGTAAAAGTTGGAAATATCCAAGTAATCGCGTATATATTTATAGAGATCAGTGACGGAATTTTTATTGTAACGATAATGTTATTTCAACGTCTCAACTCTTTAAGTAAGTTGGCACATGGAACAGAAGAGTAGTATTGTACCTGACGTGCCAAGTGAAAATGTATGTAAGTATGTATACTGACTGGAGTGGGTGGGGCTGGGGGGCTCGGAGATGGGGCGGGGGTAGTTGAAGCGCTTGCCCAGCTCGATGTCCATCTGGTCCACGTAGTCAGGGTACACAATCTTGAGAGCCTGCGCACGCGCCTGTCTGTAGTACTGAAAATTTTATATCACTAATTAAAACCAATTGCTATTAACAATTATGGGAAAGTTTATACGCAAATAGTTGAACTTATATAAAATTAATATAAGAGGGCCTAGTACGAATATCTGCGACACGCGTCTTGGTAACGTTATCGACAAATATGTCAAAATTAGTATGGAATTAGTTGTTATACTTAACGCTCTACAAAGATGCTGCACGAATCCTAATACTAATTTTATGAACAATATTCGTGAGAACGTTTTCATAATAACACGTCACAAATCTCGTCTTTGAAGATGATTTTAATACAGATTTGCGTTTCAAGGTCACGTAAATATATGACAGTTTTAGCATTTCCAGTGCCCTGGGCGAGGTCATTACGGCGCCCACTTTTTTTTGGGTGTCAGGGGAAATATTCCAAAGATAGCACTGCAGGCGTCCTTATGCCCGATCACCTCGCCCTACTCTAATGCCATTGGCAATGCGATTGCTTTATTTACACGTAGGTTATTTTTAAAGTTATTAGTTGTATGTGAAACTCACAATGCCGAGGTTCCTCCAGTCCATGAGGTCGGAGAGGCGCTCCGTGCGGTTGCGCTGGATGATGCGCTGACGTCGAGACAATCTGCGTGAAAACAATACATTAAATATAATACATCAAACACACACAAAGACATATGTTTTTTTATGCTATAAAATAGTAAGCGGCTAACTGAATTCGCCGAAATAGCGAAGCGATTGTAACCCATAGAGAAAAGGACTCACAGAAAGAGAATATTACCCCTCCCTATGCGTTAATTTCTTCGTCAAATGTATTTCCCTTCTTATCTTTTTTTATAATAAAAGGATGGAAGGGGAAAAAAGAACTAAATTTTATATGTATCTACATAATATGAGTTTTGTTAAAGTCATTCAATGAAAATCTTATTAATATTATAAAAATTTAAATAGAACAGCTAAATTGATGTAGAAATTGTTCTGGAAGAACACATACGGTACTAATGTCGCGGGCGACACCTAGTGTAGTGCAGTAATAAGAGAAGTATACTGACTTAGTGAAGTCGTACATGTACTGTGCGAGCTGCTGCACCGAGCCCTCCAGCGAGATGTAGCGGCGGTCCACCACGTAGATACCGTACGACATCGGGTCTGCGATGTGCTCCTGCATGAAGCATCCGAAACCTGCGCACTCTCGTTAATATTATATCAACAAATTGGATGTATTCACAGAAATAGAGCGTCGTTAATCTTTAAAACAGAGAAAATAACATGTTTTTATACATGTATTTGGACAATGGAAACACATGATAAATTAAAAAAAAATCAAAACTATTGATATTAAGTAATCACCAGTCTAGTGATAGAGGCTAAGATAAACGGTCTTATCGCAGGTTTCTGAGACCAAATCCCATGTTTAAAATACATCTCTAACGATATGTTTTATACAAGTATTTTAGTGTCAGAAACCGTATTTTTCAAGCAAGTAACCGAGGAAAAACTACAAAGTTTTAAGTAAGGTTGGTATTGACCGGAGAGGTTGGTGGTGACGCTGGGGATGCCCATGACGGTGCACTCAGCGGGTGTGTACCCCCAGGGCTCGTAGTATGAGGGGAACACGCCGAGGTGACAGCCGCGCACGAACTCCTCGTACTCCAGACCGAACAGCGGGTTTGTGGACGTCAGGAACTCCGGGTGGAAGATCACCTGCAAATTATCTTAAGTTACAACCGTAAAGCCGCATTTCCACTGTCCTAGTCCTAAGTGGAAACATTTTTTTCAGCCTATACAAAAATTATAAGGAAATTTTAATTATTTTAATTCGTACTTTACGTGAAAATGATACAAACCTTGACTTTATCGTTAACAGTATTGAACAGATGACATCTTCGGATCGCGTTCAGTACGGGGTCGCTCCAGTCGTCAACCTTTATACAGAAAAATATTAACACCAAAGTAATTAATCGTACACGTAGTGACAAATATCAAAAAAGATAACTCTTACTTTGACACCAATTACAATAATACGAATTAAATATCATCCTAATTTAAAATCAATTAAGCCGTTTAACTAAAGTGGACCATGAACACCATAGTCGGGCTAATGAAAAGTCCACATCAGGTTTGAATCACTTCAAACGAGTCAGATTGGCAGCTCACAGCTGAAACCAATGCACTATAACTATGTAAGTCAAAAAGTTGCTAACTCGCCGATGACTTGCAGTTCACAGCTCGAAAATAAAATAACTATATATATAGGTACAAACTGATCTGGGAATAAGTTCACTGATCTGCAGATCTTGTATCACTTACAACATTATGCGTGGTGATAGGCGGCAGGCCGTCCCTCTGCAGCGCGTAGATACATCTCTTCATACGCACAGTATCCTCCTTGTGGAGAAGATCTGACGCCTCTGGTAGATGACCCCTGTAAAAATATATTGCACCGTGTAGCGCCATCTAGCGATATTCATTTCTCAGTTTATAAAACCGCCATCTTTTGGTAAAATAATTAAACTATTTTTTGTTAATAATGACGCCATCTTTTGTTTAAATAATAAAACGCATCCATGAGCATTATTGCCATTTATTCGTACATAAGAGCTGTTTTATAAATTCACGAATTTTATTGTATAACTGGCACAATATCTTAGTTATATAAATATGAATGTTTATATGGATGGATAGATGTTTGTTTGAAAGTCTCTGACATGGTCCCAACGGATCTTAATGAAATTTGAAACAGATGTAGAACATAGTCTCGAAAAACACATAGGCTATAAAGTTTTTTAATTCCGCACGGAGGGAGTCGCGGGCGTCCGCTAGTTATTCAATAAGAATAGAATAAAGTCAGAGAAATGGATATCCGACGTTACTTTGTTACTTACATGGAGTGACAAAGCATTTTGAGCATTACCTAAGACATATGTCGTACATCCGCTTGCCGACTTTCTGCTGAATGTCTTGTATGGTATCACGCAGGGCCTTGGTGACAGCATGACCGCGCAGACTCTCCACATTGAAGTTATTCGTCTTCGCGGGGAAGATCAGGAAAGCGATCACTGTCGTCTCCGAACCTGATGACTGGAAGGAAATAAATTATATTTTTTAAGCATTGGTGACAACTGATTTAGAAAGCCAATTGTCGTGAAATTATCCTGTGAATTATCATCCACTAGTTCTGAACTCGTTGAGGGTCCTTCTTAAAGGAGAGTTTTTACCAATTTAAATGACAACGCCCTCTTGCGGACATTACGTATAATAAAAGAGACTATAGATAATATGAAGAAAAATTTATTCTTAATTAAAAATCCTTAAAAAGGATAGGTAAGAAAAATAAATCAGAAGTTAACACACTTATTGCCCAATCGCTGTGTGAGTTTGTTTATGATGTTAAAGTCATTGAAAGTGTTATGTAAAATATTGCTAACAGTTAAATATTTACCTTTAAATAATGATTGAGCCTTGCAAGGGCCTCAATAAAGATGTCTGCGCCCTTGTTGCCGTACTCATACCGACCGGCGATAAAGAAGTACAGCGTCTTATCCAAGTCGAAGTTGAAGTGTCTAAAACATAAACATAAAATAAGAAATTATATTAAGTACCTAGACCTTCTTACTAATATTATAAATGCGAATGTTTAAATGAATAGATGTTTGTTTGGAGATATCTCCAGATCGACTGAACTTATCTGATGAAATTTTGCATACATATAGAACATAGTCTGGAAGAATACATAGCTAACTAATTCAGTTTTTCTTCAATCCCACGCGGACAGAGTCGCAGGCGACAGTTGGTATGAAATAAAACAGCTATATAGTGAAACCTCCATAAGCGAGAAACTCTAGTTAGAGAGAAGCTGTATAAACGAGAAAAATATCTCGTTCCCTTGGACTCTCTTTTATTCAGTTTTATAAATAAAACATAGAGGGCGCTAGTAACAGATTTTGTGCTAATATAAAAAAAAACTATTAATTTTGAACTAACCCGTAAAAGTGTCCTCTAGCAAACTCATGTATTTTATCTTTAGCCAGCGCGTGCAAGTTCTGGAACTCGTGGAGTGCGGAGAATTTCTTCACGTTCAGACCGTTGGGGGTGATGATGTCTGGTTTGCGCTTCAGGAGGTGTTCCGCCTCGTAACCTGGAAGTTACACATGTTATGTTCGCTTGTTTTTTATTGGACAGAGAAGACGTACAGAAAAGAGACATTTCCTTTTAGTATGTTTCTACCCCTGACAATCCCACCTTCTTTTCTCATCCTTCTCTTGTTAGAAAAAGGTGAGGAGGGGTTTTCTAAAGAACGGCTAGACTAATTTTGACAGAACTTGTAGCAGGTAGAAGGTACTTGATGTAAACGGGAGTAACTTAAGTTTTTTTGTTTTTAATTTTAAGGCTAGGAAATCGCACATGACCGCTACTTTATTTTTAAATATGCTACATGGATAATTATGTAATAATTTAGTCTTTAAAATAATTGT